TCTGACTCTCTATCCCTATCCCTTCCTCTATGTAAAAAACCAATAAACTATATTTAAAAAAAATGCTCTTACATATAGTAATATTACATGCAATAAACATTAATATTTCAAGAATAAAAGAATTTTAAGTGTAATATTACCAAAACTGTACTAACATAGTATGATATCACAAAAGTTGTGGGAAATATTAAAAATCTGCAAATAACAGGGTTACTTCTATTATATTCTAGTATATTTTCCCCCCTCTAGCTCTATTTTTGTTCATCAGTTTATGTTGTTCATTATATTCCTCAAATGAGTGAGATCATGATATTTATCTTTCTCTGAGTTATTTTGCTTAGCATGATGCTTTTAAAGTCTATTTTGTTGGATATGAGTATTGCTACTCCAGCTTTTTTTTTTCTTTACCATTTGCATGGAAATTTTTCCCCCATCCCTTCAGTTTCATCCTGTGTGTGTGTTGTTTTGAGGTGGGTCTCCTATAGACAGTATATAGTTGGGTCATGTTTTTGTATTCATTCAGCTACCTTACACCTTTTGATTGGAGCATTTAATCCATTTACATTTAGGGTTATTAATGAGAGGAACTTATTTATAGCCATTTTAATTCTGTATGGCTAGGTTTCTCTGTTTTTTCTTCTCAGCCAGTGGTTCTCAACCTGTGGGTCGCGAACAATGAAAATACATCCTGCATATCATATATTTACATTACGATTCATAACAGTGGCAAAATTACAGTTGTGAAGTAGCAACAAAAATAATTTTATGGTTGGGGGTCACAACAACATGAGGAACTGTATTAAACGGTTGCGGCATTAGGAAGGTTGAGAACCACTGTCAGCATTTCTTGTAATGCTGGCTTGGTGGTGATGAACTTCTTTAGCCTTTTTTTTTTGGCTGGGAAGCTCTTTATTTAACTGTCTATTTTGAATGATAGCTTTGATGAATATAGTAATCTTGGTCTCAGATCCTTGCTTTCCATTACTTTGAGTACCTCATGCCATTCCCTTCTGGCCTGTAGAGTTTTGGATGAGAAATCAGGTGTCAGCCTTATGGGAACTCATCTGTAGGTAATTTTTCTTTTCTCTTGTTGCCTTTATGATTCTCTGTCTTTAATTTTTTGGCATTTTAATTATGGTGTGTCTGGGCATGGGTCTGTTTGGGTTCTTCTCGTTTGGGGTTCTCTGTGCCTGCTGAACTTGTGTGACTTTTTCTTTTACCAGGTTACAGAAGTTTTCTACCATTATTTCTTCAAACACCTTCTCTATTCCTTCCTCCCTTTCTGCCTTGTCTGGCACACCTACTATTTTGTATATCACTTGTATATGTTAAAATATAGTAAAAAACCTATATTTTACTAACATTGTTACATTTCACATCGTCCGTCCCACAGCTCCCTTAAGCTGTCCTTCTGTTTTTTAATTGTTTTATTCTTTTTGGTTCTCTAATTGAGTGATATTTTCAATTCTTCTAATTTACTGATTCAATCCTCAGCTTCCCCTAATCTGCTGTGTATTCCTTCCAATGTGTTCTTTATTTGTGTTATGTCATTCTTTATCTCAGACTGTTCTTTCATAGATACTATATCTTTTTTCATACTGTTGAGCATTTTTAACAACATTACTCTGAACTCTGTTTCAGATAAATTTCTTATCATCTGCCTCATTTATCTCTTCTTCTGGAGAATTCACTAGTTCTTTCATTTGGGGGTTGTTTCTTTGTTTCCTCATTTTGGTTGTCTGTTTGGGTTTGTGACTATGTTTTATGTTGATCATCCACACCTCTCAATCTCTAGTGCAGGACAGTGTTAAAAGCTGTTTCTGACTAAATGGATCAGGCAAAGACTGAAAGTCTCCAGAGACCACCTCTGTCTACAGACTAATAGGATTTTGACTTGAATTGCCCCCAGGCAATCGTCCTCAGGTGGGGGGAGAGTTTTTTTCAACAAGGTGAGGCAGTTGCTTCTGCCTAGAGCAGGGGTGGGCAAACTTTTTGACTCGAGGGCCACAATGGGTTCTTAAACTGGACCGGAGGGCCGGAACAAAAGCATGGATGGAGTGTTTGTGTGAACTAATATAAATTCAAAGTAAACATCATTACATAAAAGAGTACGGTCTTTTTTTTTTTTTTTAGTTTTATTCATTTCAAAGGGGCCGGATCCGGCCCGCGGGCCATAGTTTGCCCACGGCTGGCCTAGAGGCTAATTGTTACTTTTAATTTCTTAAGTGGCCTCAGGGCAAGATGTTTTCCAATAAGGTGTGTCGTCTCTCCCCTCCATCCCCCCCTGCAAGGCAAATGTCTGTGTGGGAAAGATGTCCTCCACTGTGTGAGGGAATGACTCAGACCAGGAGACTTGGGGTGTCTGCCTTCTGAGCTCTATCCCCTGAGTCCTGGGTTCTGGTCTCATAGCTCCATTCCACTTCCCCCTCCCTCTGCCAGAGCACAAGGTGGGTGGCTCCACAGGGAATTTTTGTGTGCTGACTCTTAAAGAGGGTGCCCAAACTTTCAGCTGCCACTCCTTGACAGATAGCACCCCACTGTTTTTCACAGCTAGATGTTATGTTGGGACCTTCCTCAGTTTTGTGCTCTCTGCTGGGGAGCCCAGCTTTGGGATTAGATTCCAGAATTCTCAGTGGCACCCCCCACAGCTGAGATACCTCTCCAGGACTTCAGTTGCCATCTGTGGGTGCCCAGCCAGCCCTTTAGTGCCTCTGCCCCTCCTATCAGTCTCTATGCATTTTCCATCTTTGGTCCTTGGGTATCAGGGTACTCTCCTGTGAGTTTACCATTGATTATTCAGAAAGCCTTTCTATGTTTCAGTTGTAATTCCAGCTTGTTCCTGGGAGCATGTCCTTGCAGCATCCTCCTACTCTGCCGCCATTTTTAATTCACCAATTTTTGTTCTTTTCTTAAACTATGTATTTAAAAATTATAAATATCCCTCTTACAATTCCTTAATGACATTCCAAAAGTTTTAATATATAAACAATAAGATATTTCTTTTGTCATGGCAGACCTCTACAAAAGTGTTTTCCCTAGTGGGATGTACCCATCCTGGAGGATATGCAAGATATCTTCCCTGGGGTGGGCAGGAGGAAAATGTTAGAACTTTTATTTTTATGTATTTCTTAATCCTTAAAAATAAGCTTTACTAATATTTAATATATGGATGATGAGTTAATCAGTACTCACATTATATGGTTAAGAAAAATAGCGATCTAATCAGATCCAACAAGAAGTGAGTCCCAAACTGAAATTATCATGGCTACCTGAAATATATTTTTATGTCCAGTATCATTAACTTCACTCTTAATGTGTATTGTGCTTTGAGATAATCCTATATAATAAAAGGCTAATATGCAAATAGACTGACAGCGGAACAACCAAACATTCGGTCACTATGATGTGCGCTGACCACCAGGGGGGCGTGTGCAGAACATGGTGGGCATTGGCTATCGCGGGATGGTGGAGGTGAGTGGGGGCACCAAAACAAGGCAGGGCGCCTGTCACTATCATCGGGGTGAGCCTCTGTTGGTTACTGAAAATTCTTTGCTCCCGTGCCACGGTCCTGCCTGGCACTCACACCCTCAGCCCGTGCCATAGCTACCGTGTGCACCTGCTGCTGGTGCCAGTCCCAATCACAAGGCGCCATCAGCGGGTGCAAGTGGCACCTGCCAGCCTTGATCACCCCTGAGGACTTCTCCACCTCCCCTTGCTCCTGAGGGGCTATAGGGGCAGCAGCCGCCGCTTGTATCCACTGACAGCGCCAGCCCTGCTCACACCCGCTGACGCTGGCCCCAATTGCTCCGTGCCATCAGCGGGCGCGAGTAAGGCCAGCGCTGTCATCAAGCCAGGGCTGGCGCCATCAGCGCGTGGGAGCGGTGGTGGCGAAAGTGGGGCTGCCTGCAGACGGGACAGGGGACTGCAGCAGGAGGGGCTGGGCGGGGTCATGGAGGTTGGGCTGAGAACTGCCCCTGTGCCTACCGCAGCCTCGTGGCCCACAGTGCTTTTCAAGGTGCACGAATTCATGCACTGGGTCCCTAGTTAATTAATAATGGTAGTATATACAAAAGTTATAAATAAACATACCAGGGACATATGCTCAAATATTTTTGCTGACAGGTTTGCAAATCAAGTTTAGAAATACTTCTAAACTTTTTCTGTTTAAGTGTAGGCTCATCAGATAGTAAGGGAAAAGGATCAAGATGAAAAAAGTTGCAAAGGAAATACAGAATTGCATTAAAATCAAAAGATACTTTCTGTGAATGCTTATCTCGCCAATTAATGTATATAATTAGTATAAGAGTACAGAAGTCTTGAACAGGAGTCCCCAACAGAAATATAAATTAAAGACAAAAGAATAGAATACAAATTAAATATGTACTGATGTATCCATCAGCACATAATTACGGGCACACAAGTAAAGTTTAGCATGCTAGAAATAGAGTCACTTTTGCTATTTCAAATAAGAACAGCATAAAAATCATGCTCTATTTGTACATACTTTGTTTAGGTGAGTACTAAGAAGTAATGTGTTTTTAATTACAAAAATAATTAATTTTCAGGTGTCACTTTGTGCAAAGTTAGATGTCTCTATAAATCTCATTCTAAAGATAATGAAGAAATCCCTCTATACTAAAATGATTAATAACAGAAAGCAATTCATTCCTCATATCCTACATTTTTATATTTTTCAACCAAGAAAAAAGCTGCTAGAGTATGTAACAAAAATAAATTAATGTTTCATAACATTCTTTTAACTTTAACACTGGTGGGAATAAGAGAAAGGTTTACATAGAGTTAAAGATGAATGTTTCTTTCCAAAACATGTTTTATATTTAGTTGAAATAAAAATGTCTTTTAGTTTGTTAGCAGGATAAATTAGGATACTAAAGATGTTGAGAGAAATACAAACAACTGAGCTGTACACCAGACTGAAAGACAACCCAGGAAATAATTCTATCTAATGTCTTGAAATAAAAACCTAGGCATCTACTCACCAAAGTGAAGTCCCAGTGGGGTCCAGGTGTTAAAAATGTGAAGGAGCTACCTCTCCTAAGGGAATATCTGTTAACAGAAATTAAAACAACAAATAGAGAATAATGTCAGTAAAATAAAGCACTAGACATATAAAAAACTAATTCTTTTCAGTTTCAAAACTGTTTAATGTAGCCTATTAGTCATTCAATCATAAAAAAAAAAGCAAGGTACAGGTCCTAGTTACTTTTAGAATCTTCATAAAATTGACAGAACCTTTATAACATTAGTGAATAGATTAAGAGTATTTAAAAAAAATAATTACCAAACCAAGCAGTTTATTTTAGGAACATATACAAGGTTCAATTATATGGAATCTCTTTATATATTACACTAATAGGTTAAATAAAAACAGTAAATGATGGAAAAATATTTGATAAAACTTAACATTCATGTTTAGTATTTTAAAAACAATAAAAAGGTATTCTTTTTAAAAAATGTTATATATATATATATTTTATTTCAGAGAAAGGAAAGTAGAGGGAGAGAGAACCATTAATGATGAAAGAGACTCATTGATTGGGATGGGCTGCCTGCACGTCCCCTTTTGGGAATGGAGCCCAGGCATGTGCTCTGACTGGGAATTGAACTGTGACCTTCTGGTTCGTGGGCTGACACTCAACCAGGGTTGATGCTCAACCACTGAGCCACATGGCCTGGGCTAAAAAGGTATTCTTAACATCTGTTTAATATAAGCCTAAGCAACCGTTACAGCAGAACAACTGGTTAATATGATGCACACTGAGCACCAGAGGGCAAACGCTCAATGCAGGAGCTACCCCCTGGTGGTCAGTGCGTTCCCACAGGGGGAGTGCTCCTCACCCAGAAGTTAGGCTCATGGCTAGTGAGGGCAGCTGCCACGGCAGGAGCCTCTCCTGACTCCACGGCAGCACTACTGAGCAGTGGCAGCACTACTGAGTGGCGGCAGCAGGTGCAGTGGGCCAGGATGAGCGTGAGTGGCATGGTGCCGGGCCCCAATTCGGGCTCCTCCCTGGCTTCCTGCCGCTTGGCAACTGCTACATCCCCCGAGGGCTCACGGACTGCAAGAGGGATGCCCAACTGCCGGCTAAGGCCCAATCCCGGTGCCGTTCTCTGTAGAAGGAAGTCAGTCTGAACAACTCAGTGACTCAGGGAAGTGCAGGGAACTCAGGGTGAGCCTGCCTCTGCGCTTGACTTACCTACTCGAGGATATTCACAGGACAGACTGTGATGGCCCAGCCCGTGCACATGCAGCAGCTGCTGCAGTTCAAGCAGCAGGCTGTGCAGCAGCAGCAGGCCATCCAGCCATAAGCCAGCAGTTGAACATCCCCCAAGGGTCCAGGACTGCCAGATGGCGCAGGCCGGGCTGAGGGAGCCCCTCCCCCAGTGCACGAATTTCGTGCATCAGGCCTCTAGTAATAAAATCTAAATGTATTTAATTTGCAGTTCACATTAAATTTCTTTCATGTACTGATTTTTTTAAAATTATGATTTAATAAAGCAAATAAAAGGTTTTGAATAACTATATTTGAGACCAAGGTCTTACGATTAAAATTTGACTAGGATTTTGTTCTTTATTAAGTGACAGATTTTTCTTGTCATCTTTCCATGCAATGTAAATAAATAAAGAGAATCCTTATGACAAAACCCTGTCTTCACCTTTATAAAATATAAACCTTAATGTTTATAAAACATGGAGAAAAATCACTAAACTAGCACAGGAAATAAAACTAGTTTATAAACTATAGTTGTTGCTAATCATCTCAGATGTAAATAGTTTTTTTTCCTCCTTTGTGGAAATAAAGATGAACCAAATGAGAAAAGTAAAGGCTATCACTTGTATTTGGCAGACTCAAAAGCAGGATGAGGAGGGAAAGCTTTATAGTAGGAAAAAAGAGACAGCTTTAGATCTGCCCTGATTGGAGGCTACTGGCAGGCTAACCAGGAGCAGGCATCCTATATGATTTATTGGGGTGTAATTTGGCTTGCTCTATCTGGTTGTTTCTAAGTTAGAAGGAAGGACAAAAATTAAGGAAGCTGGCAGGGATTGATCAAATCCTGGTCATTTGGGGCCAAATGTTATTAAAGTTACTGTTTGGCTTCCTGGATTACCAGTCCATTCTCCAATTTTATATCCCACTAGAGGCCCGGTGCACAAAAATTTGTGCACTGGGGGGGGGGGGCGGGGGAGGTCCCTCAGCCCGGCCCGTGCCCTCTCACAGTCTGGAACCCCTCGGGAGATGACCACCTGCTGGCTTAGGCCCGCTCCCCGGGGGATTGAGCCTAAGCTGGCAGTCAGACATCCCTCTGGCAGCCCGGGAGCCCTCAGGGGATGTCCACTTGCCAGTGGGGAGCAGGCCTAAGCTGCAGTCAGACATCCTTAGCGCTGCTGAGGAGGCAAGAGAGGCTCACACCACCATCGCTGTACTGGCAGCCGTCAGCCTGGCTTGTGGCTGAGCAGAGCTCTCCCTGTGGGAGCGCACTGACCACCAGGGGGCAGCTCCTGCATTGAGCGTCTGCCTCCTGGTGGTCAGTGTGTGTCATAGTGACCAGTCATTCCCAGGTGTTCTGCTGTTAGGGTCAATTTGCATATTACCCTTTTATTATATAGGAGTGCCTGGTCAGCCTGGGTGAGGGGCTGATGGCTGTTTGCAGGCTGGCCACATCCCCTTCACGGTGGGGGTCCCCCCTGGGTTGCCTGGCCAGCCTGGGTGAAGGGCTGATGGCTGTTTGCAGCCTGGGTGAGGGGCTGATGGCTGTTTTCAGGCTGACCACGGCCCCCAGCCACCCAAGCTCCCAGTGGAGGCTGGCTGGAAGCAGGTATCTGGGATTTATTTAGCTCCTATAATTGAAACTTTGTTGCCATGAGTGGAGGCCACAGCCGGCTCAGGGCAGGCGGGAAGCTTGGCTTCCTCCATCGCCCAGGCAACCAAGCCTCCTGCTTGCTCCAGCTCCGTGGCTGCCTGCCACCATCTTGGTTGGGTTAATTTACATATAGTCGCTCTGATGGCTGGTGGGCATGGCTTGGGTGTTGTGAAGGTATGGTCAATTAGCATCTTTGTCTTTTATTAGTGTAGATATCTCATCCTTGATCCTCAAGGTCTTTGTTCACTGTAAGTTACAGAAACACAACAGGTAGCTATTTTTTCCTACAATAATTCATAAGTTTAAATCAAATACAGGTTCTTGTATTTTTGAAGCTAAATATAAAGAAGTTTGTTTACATTTTGACAAGGAACACAAGGGAAAAGGACTACAATAGAAAGAGGATGTCAAAACAGCTTCACCGAAGAATTAATATTTAATTAATACAAAAGCTGCATCAAAGAGAAACAGCAATTAACACAGCATACAAGAGCCAGGAAGGCTCTTTGGACAAATGGAATAGCACATATTAAGGAGGACTGAAATAAATTATATTCAGGAACTCCAAGTAGTTCCTTATGTTTGAGAATCAAAAGAAATAAGGAAGGGGTAGATCATAATAAAAGGACTTACATACATCCCTTAAAGAGTATAAGCTTGATCTTAAACATGTATGGCAATTATTAGTTATTGAATTCTAAGTAAGAGAAGCATGGATTAGAACAGCGGTTCTCAACCTGTGGGTCGTGACCCCTTTGCTGGTGGAACGACCCTTTCACAGGGGTCGCCTAAGACCATCGGAAAACACATATATAATTACATATTGTTTTGGTTTTTTTTAAATTGATTTTTTACAGAGAGAAGGGAGAGGGATAGAGAGTTAGAAACATTGATGAGAGAGAAACATCGATCAGCCGCCTCCTGTGCACCCCCCACTGGGGATGTGCCCGCAACCAAGGTACATGCCCTTGACCAGAATCGAACCTGGGACCTTTCAGTCCGCAGGCCGACGCTCTATCCACTGATCCAAACCGGTTACAGCTACATATTGTTTTTGTGATTAATCACTATGCTTTAATTATGTTCAATTTGTAACAATGAAATTGGGGGTCACCACAACATGAGGAACTGTATTAAAGGGTCGCGAGGCATTAGGAAGGTTGAGAACCACTGGATTAGAAGAAGTCTTGGTCAGAAAGACCAGTTAGGACGTAACTCCAATACTGCTTACAATAGATGGTAAGGGGCTGAGGCAATAGCAGCAAGGTTTAGAAAGGAAGCAAATTAAAAAGGGTTCAATGACAAAATAGATTTTTCTTTTTCCTTACTATGCCTGTTCAGTTACTACCAAGGTTTTTGGCATAGTGAAATATGATGCTACTAATAATTAGAAATAGACACTATTAGTAAAGAATACATTGTTTCAGGCAAGGCTATTTTCCTGAAGGGAATGGAAGGGACCTACAGGCAGATTATCTCATTAGTACTGATCAGGGAATTCCTTGTGGACTGGTTAAAGGTTACATTCCAGGGAAGCTGAAACTGCAATTAGATTAAGTAGAATATCTTGGTCTGCTGAGGTGGGGCTTGGTGCAAGTGACTCCATTTTGGGTCTGTTGTTTCTCTTTAACAGATTAAAATACAGTAAGCCTTTTAATACTCTCTCTTTTAAAATATGTTTTTATTGATTTCAGAGAGATGAAAGGAGAGACAGAAACATCAATGAGAGAGAAACATTATCCAGCTGCCTCCTGCACACCTCCTACTGAGGATCAAACCTGCAACCTGGGCATGTGCCCTGACCAGGAATGGAACTGGTAACCTCCTGGTCCATGGAATGACACTCAACCAACTGAACCACATTGGGCAAGTCTTTTAATACTCTTGGAGCTCCTTGTTACTTTTTTTTAAGCCTCTTTAAGGAGAGCAAGATAACTTAAGGAAATGATTTTGCCACTGCAGAGAAGTCAAGCCACAATGAAGAAAACAGTATGATTTTTGGATAAAACAGTGGAACAACGCGTTTAAGTTAAACAAAAAAGGCATCTGAAATATAAGTCTTATGACTAAACTCTATAAAGGTATAATATTATAAACAAATGGTACAAGATTATAGGAGAAACAGGATCTTCATACTATGACTTACCATAGAACACACTTGTTAAAAACACTGCGATAGGTAAGTGCT